TGAGGAGGAGGAGGAATAACACCAGCTCCCAGATCGCGGTCCGTTGAACGGGACCTAACCACACCTTCTAGTGTGACAAAGCCGCAATTTCAACCGCGTGAGCCGTTAAAAGCTTGGGTCATGCTCCCCCTGACTGAAGTCAATTAGCAAGCGTAGCGACCTCCCGCCTCGACGGCCCCTGTTTTGAATTCTCCTGGGCAGGGGAATCAGTCATGCGGAGAGGCCGCGGGCGAACAGTAGTTATGGTGACAGCGAGACAATAGCCGGGTAATCATAACGCAACAACGATGATGAAATTACGGAGCCCTAATGCCTTGGGTGCCAACTAACTAGCAAACATTACATCAAATAGGACTCTAGGCGAGGAGCGCGGGTGCTGTTAATTATAGAGGCGTCTTATAAATGCTGCCCGCCCCTTTTGCCACCACCCCTCTGTATGTGGTTGTCCTAGCTGATTAATTCGAGTGAGAGCAACGATTGCTTGCAAAGAACAGTATGTAGTTTACTGTACATAACTACCTACGTATTTCGTTACAGTAAGATTGTTGTTTTTCAGTATTTCATATGATCGCGGATGGGGGTGTGGGCGGTGCGGTGCAGGATACTTACTGTTTAAGACGATGTTCCATGTAAACCTAGAGATGGGCGCGTGGCAGAATTCCTGCCAAGTGTTCTCGAAGGGATTGAAAATGTCCACCAGTGCATCCTTGAAGCGCCCGTCACGCTTCACAATATAGAGTACATCGGTTGAGAGTTGGCGGTAGACACGGTCAGACTGGGCCGCCCGCGAGATGACCTGTTGCTCATTCAACATCCCCGTCATACGTAGGAGTTTGGTCTGCAGTTCGAGATCCCTGTGCAAAAGTGTGTGGCATTATCGGGTACTGAGGTTTAAGCAAGACTATAGGCGATCACAAAAAGTCAAGCATTAATGACACTGTTAGTTCCAAGTGTGTCTGTATGTGTGCACTTACCCGCTTTACTGGGCCTAGGAAGTGAATGCGCATGTGGTCTAGTAGGCCCATGCAATGGGCGAATGTGCGTGGGCAGTGAAGGCAAGTGGTGCGACTGTATGTCGGAGCTCCATGCACTGGTTCTCCAGTCTCTGTGTGCGATGGATTCGCAAGTGACCGACCAGGCCGATGCGTGAGGTGAATGTGCGATTGCAGTGAGGGCAGATTAGGCTCCAGCGCCCACTGCTAATAAGGGCGTCAGAGAAAATAAGTAAAATGAGTCGTTGACTTCACTATCCCTCTCCCCCCACACGCAGCAGTACGCTCAATTTCGAATTCTCCCAGCTGTAGCTTAATGTAGACTGATCGGGTTCTGTCTTTTGGAGGAAAAGGTTACCAGCGTCCATACTCACGGATAGGTATGGCGGTGTTCGATGTTAACTAATACATGTTTCTATAAAAATGGTCGATATCATTCTTTTGGCGTCAATATAATAGATAAAAGACCATTTATTACAATCATATTAAAATGGATCCGGAGCCTGAATTACATTGAAGTAGTGCGTGGACATGGCTGCGGGTTGCAAGTTACATTATGCAGAAAGTGAGTTTCGGAAGGTTTGTGCCGGACGGTCAAGAATGCTATTTGGTCCCCTATCTTGTTCAGTGTCAGCTGCCTCAACATCATGCGACTTCAAACAGACAGTTGATTTCTGACTCGTTTACCCGAACACTGACCTCCCAGCAGGCGTTTATGGGCGCGCACACACACAGACGCGTCCAAATGGTCGCAGCTGCCAAAGGACCACTTGAACACGCCGCCCCTCAGCCGATGCAGCAGACGCTTCTATGCGCGACACCCCCTCAGGCAATGCAACATACCAATCGACTGATTACCGTAGTACAGCTTAAGGATATGGACGACGGTCGCGTTACTGATATCCCGAGAAACCTGTCCCTGGTATCCGACGCGCTGACCTCAAAACCCTTGACTGACGTCCACTCGCTCACACACACACGTGCGCACACACGCACGAACCAAATAGTCGCGCCTGCCAAAGGGCCACTTGAACATGCCGCCCCTCGACCGATGCAGCAGGTGCCTCGATATGCGACACCCATTCGGAGAATGCAAAAAAGTCAACCGCACACCACTTTAACTGGCTCCAAAATCAAGTAAAAACAGCTTCCACTGCCACCTTTCTCCCATACACAATCGAGTGCTCTCTCGGGCACGACTGGACACACTGAACACAGTAATCCTGGCCTCGGCAGTGGCCACTGCTGCCTGAGGTAGCACAAGTCCAAGAATTTGACGAGGCAGTCGGCGAAGAGGATGTAGGATGGACATTCATCGAGCCGATAACCTCCACTAAGCCTTCCGACTGCGCGACCCTCACTCCAAGATCTGCTGGGGCATCTCCGAGATTGTTTTGACACCCTTCACCTTGAAGTTGGATAGACCGCCGCATCGATGAGGCTGGTGAATACGAGGAGAGCAGAAATGGGACCGGCCACGGGTATCATGGCAGTAATAAGTTGGACTGTTTCCTGCACTGTTGCATTCTTTTCGCACCCCAGACAGTTGGCACCAAACCGTTACAATGTAATGCTATTGTTGAGGTCGTTCTGGAGTTCTGCTCGGTCAGAACGGTGCTAACGGTCATGGAAAACCAAT